ACCCCCGACCTACTTTATTTATTTTGTTAGTTTTTTAATTAGTTATTTCTAATGAAGAAGTAATACATCCTCACAACTCACCACCCCAAACAAAAGGCCAGACCCTCAGCAATGACCCCTATCTACCCAGAGGTTAATTTAGAAGAAATAGAAATTAGACAGCGGCAGAAATAAGAGGGAGGGGAGCCCATGCCTCCCTCCCACCCCGGCTCCAGCTCACCCAGTTAGCGTTTGGGGCTGGGCCTGCAGACCACGTTTCCAGGACATTGATAAACACACAATGAGCTGGGGTCACGGTCCTCGCTGCTTCATAAATAGATGTCTCTTCCCCCCACTTTACAGTACTCCTCACTGTTTCGGGGAATAAATATACACATCCACCATTTTTTAAACAGCCGCAGAGAGTTTCATTGTTGGGCTGGATCATAATGAATAACGTGAAATCAAACGATCGTACTAAAATGTGTCATTCACAATGGAGATAAATGCTCTGAGGAAGAGTAACAGGGTGGGGGGGGGCCACGTCCAGATGGGAGAGGACAGGGAGGACGTTTCAACTGAGACCTGGAGAAGAAAGAGGAGGAAGAGAGTTCCAGGCAGACAGAACAGCAAGTGCCAAGGCCCTGAGGCTGGACTGTGTCTGGCATTTGGGGAAAATGAAGGAGGCCCGTGTGGCTGGGACAGAGCAAGCAAGGGGGACAGTGGGGGTGACGGGGCAGAGTGTGAAGAGCCTTGTGAGCTGCCGGAAGGACTTTGGCTTTAATGCTCTGGAAGGTGGGAGTCATGGAGGGTTCTTGAGCAGAGGAGGGCCGTGGCCTGGCTCGAGTGTTCACAGGCGCCCTCTGGCTGCTGTGGGCGGAATTGACTGTAGGGTTTGGGCACGGGAGCCAGAGCGGAGGCTGTGCTGGGCCAGGGTGGGGCGACAGAGCAGGCAGAAGGGTGAGGATTCTGGGTAATGAGGATAGTGGAGCCGACAGGATTTATGGTGATTGGATGTGAGTGTGGAAAACAGAGGTGTTGAGGAGAACTTGGGGCTGGGGACTTGCGCATCCAGAAGGACAGGGCTGCCATTACTGAGCTGGGGCAGGTCAGGGGGCAGTCAGGAGCAGGATGTGGTGGTGCTGAGCGTGAGATGCCTGAGACACCCCCACGTGGGGAGCCTGGAGGCAGATCCCACACAGGTGGGCAGATCGGGGGTGATGCCCACACTGGGGACCAACATTTGGGAGTTGTCATTGTGGAGCTGGCTAAAGACCTAAGTGTCCGCTGTGCAGGTGGGAAGAGAAGAGTCCAGTGTCCCAGGCCCAAGAGTCAATGTTTGTTGATAGAATATTAAACACTAGGGTGTGAGCTAGGCATTCGGGGGTTCCCGAGGGAGATGTGACCTCAGGGGCGTGGTTCCTTTGACTTCCTCAGACAGCAGGTCCCCCCCACCATGCCACATGGCCACCATCGTGTGCCCTCCCCCAGTCCTGCTCAGCCCACCCCTGGTGATGACTCAAGAGATATTTGTTGAGTGAATGGAAAAGGCATCTCTGGGACTCAGTGGTGGCTTGGCTGTGGCCTTGCTCTTTCCCTCTGTGAAATGGGTCTTCCCTCACCCCGGCCTGTCTGACCCCCTCGCCCAGGTGTCCTATGCCAGACCCAGCTCTGCATCCATCCGGGATGCCAACCTGTACGTCAGCGGGCTCCCCAAGACCATGAGCCAGAAAGAAATGGAGCAGCTGTTCTCCCAGTACGGCCGTATCATCACCTCACGCATCCTGGTGGACCAGGTCACAGGTGAGGAGTGTGCACCTGGCGGGGGCGCTGGGCAAAGGCACCGAGGTGGGACCAGAATGGAGAAACCGTGGATGCCAGGGTGAGGAGCGGGGAAGGGCGGAGGGGAGGTCACGCGGGAGGGGACAGGGTTCTCACGACGCCCCCATGCCCTGGCAGGGGTCTCTCGGGGTGTGGGATTCATCCGCTTTGACAAGAGGATCGAGGCCGAAGAGGCCATCAAGGGACTGAACGGGCAGAAGCCGCTGGGCGCGGCTGAGCCGATCACGGTCAAGTTTGCCAATAACCCGAGTCAGAAGACAGGGCAGGCTCTGCTCACTCACCTCTACCAGTCATCTGCCCGGCGCTACGCAGGCCCCCTGCACCATCAGACGCAGCGCTTCCGGTGAGCCCCCTGCCGCCCACCCGGATGCCCCAGGCCTCCAAGCTGGGTGTCCCAGGCTTCCGTCCACCCCCCTGAACCCCATTCTTGCCTCAGGATGGTGCCCACATACCAGGACTGCTGACAGCAGCAGAGAAGTGGGTGTGTCAGGTGCTGAGGCCAGGTCCTTGTATACAGCAGGCACTCAGTGAGCGCTGGTCACCACCGTTGGCATTACTGGCATGAAGGGTTTTGGAGTCACCTGACTGGGATCTAGCTCTGGCTGTCCCCTCTCCCCTCGGGCACGTGGCTCCATCTCTCTGGGCCTCAGTTTCCTCATCTGTAATAATAACACCAAACGTTTCGTGAGTGCTTACTGCATGCCAGGCGCACTTACTTATTCCACACAGCAACCCAATGAGAGCCGAGCTTGTATTGTCCCCATTTTTATGGATGGGAACCCTGAGGCACAGAAAGGTGCTGTAGCTTGCCCAGCCCAAACAGGGCAGAGGAGACTCAAACCCAGAACCCCAACTGGAAGCTCTTAGCCACTTGGAGTGGGGACAATACAAGCCCCTTGTGGGCACCTGGATGGCCCTGGAGAGTTACCACCCTCCAAAGGCTCTGGGAGAGTTGGTGTAGTTGTTACTGTCAACTTTGTTAGGAATGATCCTTCCCCAGAGAGCCCAGCCCCCAGGCCCAGACGGGACCTGCCAGCCGGGAGGGGGAGGACAAGGACATGGGGCAGGCGAGAGGCGGTGCCCGAGTGCTGGCGATTCCGTGCCAGGCGGTGTCCAGCCGGGCGGAGAGCTGGCGGGCCGCGGGGGCTGGGCTCTGCTGCAGGCCTGCTGGGTGGGGGAGGGGAGGGAAGGCTGGCCAGCAGTGTCACACGGGGGCGCGTCTGAAGGCCACCGCTGACCACCACTTCTGCCTCCACAGGCTGGACAATTTGCTCAACATGGCCTACGGAGTCAAGAGGTAACAGTGCCCCCTCCCTGTTGTCCCCACTCCCTTGCTGTCCCTCCTCCCACCCTTGCTATGATCACTCCCTCCCCTGACTCCCCCCAGGACCTCCAGCTTAGCCATGTCTGCCCATCTGGGAGTCGTGTGGTCATTAAGGGATTGGGCACCAGGTGGACTGAGTTTCTACCTCTGGGGACCTCTCCACCCTGTAAGATCACATTTTGAGGGTCTATCCAGCATAGCAAATACCCAGAAAGAGCTGCAAGGACATACAGATCCAGGGGCTATCCCTGGCCCTCTCCCGTTGCTTTTTTCCATCCCAATGAGAGGCATCCCAAATTGGTCCCCCTTGAGTCTCTGAGCTCCACTGGCCACTGCTCATTCATCTTTGCTGAAGGTCTCAGAATGACCCCTTCCATCCCGAAATCAGGGGTGGACCTTGAGGCCGCCCCCAACACCGTCCACATCCCTAGCCTTGTGAAAGTCCCCGTGTTTATTACATAACAAGCTCCTGAGCTCATGCTGAGTGCCAGGCGCTTGGCTTGGGGCTGGGGGTCTGGCATGGCCCAACCAGACTTGATCCCTCGTGGAGGTGAAGTGCTACAGTGCACAGTGCTGGGCACATAGAGAGCACTCAATAAAAGGTAGCCACTGTTATGGTTATTGTTACTGTCATTAATGATCTCAGTCTAGTGGGGGAGGAGACAGACAAGTGATCAGGGCCATGCAGGGGGCAGTATAAGGCGTGATGGGGACCCAGCAGAGACCCCCCACCTGTTGGGGGCAACATTGTGCTGAGGTCTGGAGAAGAGGGACAGGATGGGAATGGAGTTCCTGGCAGTGGGAACGGCCTGTGGAAAGGCCCAGAGGAGGAAGCTCAGCACCACGACAGCGTGGTCGAGATTGAATGGTCGAGATTGAATGATTCAGGCCCTCGAGGTCCTTCCCACAAGTGAACCAATACCTTTGGAGTGTTTCATTAATTCATTTAACAGATACCTCCTGAGTGCCTATGAGGGGCTGACCTGGGGCTGTGGCACAGCAACGAATATGGAGCTGATTATAAATATATGGGGGGCTGGTTAGATCAGTGGTTAGAGCACAGTGCTGCTAATGCTAAGGTCCAGGGTTCGATCTCTGAACTGGCCAGCTGCCAAAACAAAACAAACTATGTATGATTTGAGTAGGAAAAGGCTGGAGAGGGGCAGAGGGATGAGATGGGCCACTTTTTGTGGTCAGAGGAGGCTGCCCTGAGGAGGTGACAGCTGTGGGGGGTGGCAGGGTGGCCAGTGGGGCACAAAGGGGCAGAGTTATCTAGGGTGGGGTCCAAGGGCAGGAGTTGGGTGGGAAGATGTACCGAGGGCAGCCAAGGATGTGGTTGGGATTCACAGGGCCAGGACCAGGTAGGGTCAAAGGTCACAGGGTCAGAGTAGGGATCAGGGCTCTGGGCAGGATCATGGGTTGTAGCCCAATGTTCAGGGAGGGTCAGAGGTCAAGGCAGGGTTGCAGGTCAGGAGCTGGTTTCTCACTGGATCAGAGTGAGCTTTCAGATGGGGTCAGAGGTGGGCGTCACCGGGCATAGCAGGGTCAAGATAGTGCAGGGCTCTCACAGTCCCAAGGTCACATTACGGTCAGGGTCATGACAGTGTCAGGGGCCACAGGGTCACAGTGGGGTCGGAGGCATGCCGGGGGTCAGGGCAGAGCCCGCGTGACCCCCAAAGTAGTCCCCTGTCGCTCATCGCCAGGTTCTCACCGATCGCCATCGATGGCATGAGTGGCCTGGCGGGCGTGGGCCTGTCGGGGGGTGCCGCGGGCGCTGGCTGGTGCATCTTCGTGTACAACCTGTCTCCGGAGGCGGACGAGAGCGTGCTGTGGCAGCTGTTCGGGCCCTTCGGGGCGGTCACCAACGTCAAGGTCATCCGCGATTTCACCACCAACAAGTGCAAGGGCTTCGGCTTCGTCACCATGACCAACTACGATGAGGCGGCCATGGCCATCGCCAGCCTCAATGGCTACCGCCTGGGCGAGCGCGTGCTGCAGGTCTCCTTCAAGACCAGCAAACAGCACAAGGCCTGAGCCGACGCCCACCCCGCCCGCCCTCCCACCCCCTCCCCGGGCAGCAGAGAGAGAGAGAGACAGAGAGAGAAGGGGCCTGAGAGAGACCGCACAGGCAGAACCACGGACGACACGAGGGCCCCACGTCCCTGCGGAAGTCACAGGGTGAGCACTCGGGGGCAGGAGGGTCTGCAGGGACTGGGGGGTGCCCGGGGGTCCCCCACCCCATCCTCCTGTTCCCACCCCACTGGGCTGGGCTGTTCACTCTCTCGTCTTGGTTTGGTTCATGGTGAAGGTTTTTGTTTCTTTTTTCGGCTAAAAAGAAAGCAGAGATGCGCCCCCACCCCACCCTCAACCGCCCTCCATGGGATGGCTCGGGGGGGCCCCAGGGGTGTCCTCCCAGGCCACCTCGACCAGGCCTCCCCAACACCTAGGTGGGTCTGAGACGGGGAGGGAACAGGTTTAAAAATCCCCAGAGCCCCTGGGTGGAATGTGGGGAGCAGGTGATGGGGCTGGAAGCAGAAACAAAATGACAAAAAAAAGGGGGGGGTGGGAGGGGAAGAAAAACTCTATTTTTGTAAAAAGGGAAAAAGACCTCGTGGAGAATTTTTACTGGGGATTCTTGAACTTGAAAAAAAAAACACAAAAAAGACAAAAAAAAAAAAGAAAATATTTTGGCAGGCTATGTTTACCAACTGGGGTGGGGGGACAGGGCTTAGAGGCTGGAAGTCCACGGGGCCACACAGAGAAACACAGCCACACGCAAAGACACGCAGGAGCACACAAACACCACGGGGACGCATGACAACAGAGACACGCCCCCGACATGTTGAGGAACGCGTTGGCCAAACTCAGACACGTGGACAGGGATGAACAGAGAGGAGCCAGGGGTTGGGCCTACATCGACTTGGCCACGGGCAAACGTGGACACAGACGCACGTGGACACAGATCCATTTGGACACGCAAATCTGGACACCCAGTCACAGAGACACACAACACCCAGGGACACACAGACATGCCCATGGCATACCACAGGCCCAGGCAGGAGGTCCCACCCCAGACCCCGACCCACCCACTTCCTCCACCCAGGTGGGCCCGGTCCCTCCTCCGGCCCCACACGCTCCAGCCCCAGGTTCTCTGCAGAGCTCTTTCCTGGGTCCCCGGTGGTCTCCCTGCCGCCCACGAACACAGGCGTGCACACACAGCGTCCATGCATCCAGACACACGATACCTCGTTCCACTTTGGCGTCGCGGTGGGCTGAAGGCAGCCCCCCCAACTCTTGAGGCCAAAGGATCCCTGTCCCTGGGGCTCAGCCGCCCTGGGCCGAGGCGCTGGCCCGGCCCTGAGCCTCCCCCACCAGGGCCGGGCCTCCCCAGCAGCAAGCACCCAGCACCCCCCGCCAGGCCCAGGGTGAACAGGCCCAGGGGCCCCGCACCCCTTCCGTCCACTTGTCACTCCTTCTTTTGGTTTGTTGGGTTTTTCGTCTTTCCAGATTGGTGAGGGCAGTGGACACAGACCCCTCCTGAGCCCCGGCCCCAGCTTCTGTCCCGACTCTGCGTCCCCTTAGTTTTCTTTTCTAAAAAAAACCCCACAGAAGCCAAAGCCGGAGCCTCCGGGAGCCCTCGCACCGCTCCCCACCCTTCAGCGGGCCCCATTAGACTGGGAATTGCAGAACCCCAACTTTAGCTATAGTTGCCTTCTCCCGGTGTCCCCACGTGTGGTGTCCGGCCATGGCCCCATCTGACTGTCCAGCTCTCTCTCCCCCACCCCTCCCGGTGTTGTTCTTAAACGTCTGTGGAGCTTCCGCTGCAAGGAACAAAAACAAAAAAAAAAACAAAATCAAAAAAGTGACAAAAAAACACAAACAGAAGAGAAAAAAAAAAGCGACTTAAAAAAAGAAAAAAAAAAAAA